ACCCCTTCTCTGTGGGTTTTAAGATGAACATGTACAGTTAACTGACCCCCTCTCGAGAGTCGGGGCAGAGCTGGTTTGAAGAGCAGATGCATGCAACCTGATGCCGGGCCTCCCAACTCCAGAAGTCTGTGGGGAGATCTCCACCTCCAGCAGCCTCTCCAGGTCACTCTGCACGTTGACCGTGAACTTCGTGGAAAGGTGTTTGTAAGACCCTAGCGTGGCATCGCGGAGCCTCCTAAGTCTCTCTTCAGGACTTCCGTGCTCTGTGCGGTGCTGGGCACCCCGCTCTGCTCAGCAGACATTTATCGTCTCATTAAGGGTCACACACTGTTGCGAGGAGCCAGGGTTGCGTGCAGGGCCCTGAGAATGCAGAGTCTAACACAGGGGTGGGGACCTTTTCCTGCCCAGGGCCATGTGGATGTTTAGAACATCATTCAGGGGCCATACAAAATTATCAACTTAAAAACTAACCTGCTGTGTTTGGTCAAACCTTTCATTAACTCACCCCCAATGCCTTGGCAGGGCCCGACCACATGAATTCACAGGCCTCATAGGGCCCTTGGGCCAGACGTTCCCCACCCCTGGTAGAAGGATGTGGAAAGAGCACATTGGAGTCAGAATCTGGGAAGTGCAAGCACAGAGTTAGCACAAAGGCTGTGGGAACGCCAGGAGGGAGGACTCCCCAGACCAGGAAGGGGGGAGGGGGGAGTAAGGGCAGGAAGGCTTCCGGAAGAGCCCGTGTCTGACCTGCAGGCATCAGGTCACTTCCTGCTAGGAGGGCACCTCCCGCTGTTCTGAGCTAATTTGTTCTCCTCCTAAAAGTAATTAGATCAGAACGAGGACCATGATTCCTTCTGAAACACCCTCATCTCCAGCCTCATTTCTGCAATAAGAGCCCTTCTTTGGTTACTTGTGTGCACATTTTAACTTGCTCTCTCGCTCCCTCTCCATTTCTACCAATTCCCTGCCCACCGGGCGTCATCCACACACGCTCTGGCCTTTAAGACCTATGAAAACAAGGCCTTCTGACTTCACTTCTGCATCCACCTCAGCGCCTTGGAAATGGGACATACGCCATAAATATTCATCACGCTGAATGTCTTCGCTGCATCGTTTCTTAAAGTACTTCATAGCCAAGGGCTCTGTGCCGATACGGTATAGATTTTGCAACCCCCTCCCTCGCACAGAAACATCTCCTGAAACTAATGAGCCAAAGACGTGGTTATTACCATCAGGAATCAAGAGTGACTCATTAGTCTGTTCCAAGAATCAAGGGCGAGGATCTGAGCGGGTGGAGGGCAGGCTGGGAACCCAGTTCCGCAGACACTGATGGAGGAGCCCTCCAGCCTGCCCTGTGCGCCACATACATCAGATTAGTGCCGATTCCTGAGCACTTTATGCTTCTCAAGTCAAGCCCTTGTCTTACCGTAATGCAATTCTTACTCAACTGGCTTCTTTGTTAAATTTAAAGTCTGAATTTGGGTCCTGGCCCAGTAGCTCACTTGGTTGGATCATCATCCAATATTGAACCCGCCAAAGTTATGGGTTCAATCTCTGGTCAGGGCACATACAAGAGTCAACTAATGAATGCATACATAAGTGGAACAATCGATGCCTCTCTCTCTCATTCTCTCTCTCTCTCTTTCTGAAAAGAAATAAAATAAAAAAATAAAGTCTGTGAGTTTGGGGACTGTCTATATTGTTCACCATTGGCCAGAGTGTCTCTTTCAAATGAAGGTACCCCCACCTGCCAGTCTGCCAATGATGTGTTAGCATCCGCAGTCTGCATTTTGCCAACGTATGGCTTCAGGGTAGCCCTGTTCTCTCTACGCTGACATGCAGGGAGGCACTTGGCAAATGAATGAATACACTTTAGGGAGTAGAAATATAGGAAAACCCCAGTTGGTACCCTACGGGCATTTCAGCTGTAGAAAGTGTCGGGTGAGAAAACAATATGAAATGGTCATTAACTAACTAACTAACTAACTAACTAACTAACAAGCTGGGAGGAGGGGCCAAGACCTCTGGAGCCTGTTGGAGGGAGGAAAGAGAACCTCTAAGGGGGAAAAAAAAAAGTTGCTGGGCGCTGCAGCTCTGCTTTCCTGGTTGTCATTCAAGCTAGTGTGCACGTGCGTGCGCAGTGACTAGACACCGCACTTCCTGTGTGTGGGGATGAATTATGCATTTCCTGTCTCCTTTCTCTGATCTAGGTTTGCCAAAATTTGACAGCCATTCAGGAGTGCCTGTGATGAATGTCTTCAATCTGAATCTCCGGAAATTGTCCCATTTCCAGTCGGCTTGGAATCAACTGCTTTACTGGAAGGGAGTGAGCGACTGGATACTCGAGAAAAGCCATTTTCATTGGGTTATGTGGTGTGTGTTGTGTTTGTTTTTTTAAAAAAAATCCCCAGTTTTGCCCTCGTAAAGCTGTATTTTGATTGTGAAAACAATATTAATTCGTCTTTCTGTTGCAAATACTGGCAGTGGAGAAGGGAGGCACTGGGAAATGTGATAGAGGACATGCCACCCGGGTAAACATTGTCCTGTCATTCCCTGAGGCCGTGGTGCTCACACGTTAATTATCAACAGGGGATTCCATGGGGAGCTTGTAACAATGCCGATTCCTGGGCCTGCCCGCGTGGGCCCACCCTCTGCTCTGCTGCTTTAGCTGAATAATGAAAGCGAGTTTATAGAACCAACACCAGCATGAACGTAATTAAAGGCAGCTTATACTGTGTAGAAAACATCAGTATTTTTGCTAAAGGAGTGGCTCAGTATTGGGTGATGACTATAGATGACGGTTGATGGAAAAGGGGCAGGAGAGAGCCTTTTTTTTTTTTTTTGGAAGGTACATTCTTCTTTTAATTTTTGTTTTAAATTGAATTTATTGGGGTGACATTGGTTGATGAAATTATATGGGTTTTAGGTGTGCAATTCTATAACACATTATCTGTGTATAGTACTGTGTGCTCACCACCCCAAGGTCAAGTTGGAGGGTATATTCTTATTTTGAACCACTTTCTTTACCAAGTTTTCACCCTTCTTGGTACCTTTCACTAAAATTGCTCTTACAATAAAAACACAGAAAAATTGCTCTAGGGCAAAATAAAGGCAAAACCCCAGAGTGCTTTGAAAGATGAAACGACGGTGCTGTTGCAAAACCAATGAGGGGGCCGCCCTCCTGCCTGGGCCATGTTCCCAAATGTGTCAGGCAATTCACATGGGTTCTATATGGTACTCTCTGTCTAGAAACTTCTGTGGGGAAATGTGTCTTTGCTTAAAATGGCAATGTCAAAATATCATTGTTATGTCATTTGTATTTTGTGTATTTTGGGTTGAAAAATATATTAATAAGAGATGGAGTCATCAGCAAAATTGAGCAGCATGAGCAATCATGGAGGAAAGAGGTTCATTGACCACTGTATGAGTTTCTTATATCTGCTGTAACAAATGACCACAAAACAGTGGCTTACACACCACGGGTCGTGGATTCATGGTTTCACATTTCTGGACGTCAGAAGCTACGATCAAGGCCTTGGCAACATGCTTTTCCTTCCAAAGCCTCCTGTCTTTGGTCAGGCCCTTCCCTGGAGGCAATGCCCTCCCCTGCCTGTCCCTCTTGGAGACCCCTCATTCTTCTCAAGTCCCCTCGGCTCTCACTGCCACTTGAGTCCCCCAGGGTCATTCAGAGACTCCCTCTCCTCTCTGCTACTGTGCCCTTGGTCACAAGTCCTTTAGGACATTTCAAAGAGACTTTGTTTAAATATCCTTTTTAAAAAAATTTATTTTTATTGATTTCACAGAGGAGGGGAGAAGGAAAGAGAGATAGAAACATCAATGATGAGAGAGAATCATCGATTGGCTGCATCCTGCACACCCCACGCTGGGGATCAAGCCTGCAACCCGGGCATGTGCCCTGACGGGGTATCAAACCATGACTTCCTGGTTCATAGGTCAATGCTCAACCACTGAGCCACATCGGCCAAGTGAGACAGTAATTCTTACTTGTTTTTCCAGATGGCAACCTCCTTGACTTCCCGCTCCCCCTGCCCCCCAACTTTCCACAGGGCTACATACCAAGCACTGTCCGGTCCAGTTTAGGGCCTTTGCTGGCAGAGGCTTCTATAGCGGTAACCAGTTCCTGGGTAGAGCTGCCATTTTGGTGAAGCCCCTACTATGTGCCAGACGCTTTATCTGCCCTATCCATAATCCACCCCAACGATTACTTCCTGTCTTAGCTGCCCCTACAGGCAAAACCAGATAATAATGCCGGATGTGGGGCAGGCAGCCCTCCTGCACCCTGTAACCATGCCGTTGGCCATACACAGGCTCCAAGCCCGCCTGCTCACCTGCCTCAGGCAGGGAGTGACTGTCCCTTCTCTCACCGCCAGGAGTGAGGCTCAGCCACCCAACCCACCTGCATGCGGGGGCTGGGAAAGGCGGGGAAGCGGGTGGGTCATTTTAAAGATGAAGAAGGCACATCTCAGAGAGAATGTGTCACTTGCACATCCCCCTGTCGTTAAGGCTCCTGTGCCGTTTCCTGCATCCTTTCCTCAGCCCGCAACGTTTCCCCAAGTAAAATCAATTGTGGTGACTCCACCAACAACTCTGATCCAGAATAGTCCGCCTGTGCGACAGGGGATGCCAGTCGCCTCCCCCACCCCCGCTCCCCGCTCCCCGCCCCCTGGAAAGGAATCCTGCTATTGCTCACACAGTACAGCAGAGCAGGCACCTGCCAACTTGGCACGCCTGGCATCCAGGACACAGATCCCTACCAGGCCTTGATGAAGGTCTGATCGTGTATTTTTTAAAACTCTAGCCCACTGTGATGGCTGTCCCCCCTCCATCTGCCCCATGTGGGGCGACATTGGCTCCAGCTGCAAGCTACACCTGCTAGAGTGCCAGCCGGTGCCGTGGGGGTGCGGGCAGGTTAGCAGGGGGATGCCCAAATCTGGCCACCGCCTGCAAAAATCTTCGGATCCTTCTGTGGCCATAACAGAAATAAAAGCAAAGGAGAGGAAACGCAGGGTGGGGTGGGTGGAAACAAAGACTCATTTTCAATGAAAAAAAGTCACTTTGTCGTTCTGGCCCTGAGTGCTCCGCTGGGGGCAGAGAGCCGAAACTCAGTGCCGGCGGCTCCATCTTTTTCTCCCTTTTTTTTTTTTGTAAAAGGAAAAATTTAGGATCACATTCCAGAGCCTTCTACCTTCCTCATCTTCCTTGATTTTTTCCCAGGTGGTCACATCCTTTGAACGCTAGCACCGCAGTGGCCGGGGGCTGTATCTCTCAGCCTCAACTTCCTCATCCATAAAATGGGATGAAAGTGCCCCCTGAGTCACGCATCCTTATGAATATTAAATGGATCCGCGCAGCAAATGACTGGGAGCTCAGCACAGTGCTAGCCTCGGGGTAGGCTCTTCCTGGGGGAAGCTGCCATATTACCACTGTTGGCAGCAGCAGTGGTGGGGGGCGGGGGGAAGCTGCCATGTTACCGCTGTTGGCAGCAGCAGCGGTGATGGCGGTGACACTGGTGGTAGCGGAAGGCGTTTTTCTGGTTTCTGGGACCATGTGGACTTTTCGGCTTCCAGGTGAGACCAGCCGAGGGCGGAGGCTTGGCCAAGGCCGGTCCATCCAGCGGAACAGATTCTTCCTCCGCTGCCGCGCACGAGGCAGAGCGGACACAGACCACGTAGCTTTTGCAGTTGAGGGACAGAGGTCTGACTCGGCTGCCCCGCCACGTGGAGCTCTGTGATATTGGGCCCATCACTCAGCTCCTTTGATCCTTAAAAGTCCATGTTTTTCCATCCTCTGCGGAGTGGAGCACCGCCTTGTTGTCATGGAGAAGGTCAAAGAGGAGAGGGTGAGCAGACACAGTGGCATGAGAAAGGATTCACTTTAAAAATGACCCGCCTGCCCGGCCGGCGTGGCTCAGTGGTTGAGCATCGACCTATGAACCAGGAGGTCACGGCTGGACTCCCGGTCAGGGCCCATGCCAGGGTTGCGGGCTCCATCCCGAGTAGGGTGTAAGCAGGAGGCAGGCGATTGATGATTCTCTCTCATCATTGATGTTTCTCTCTCTTTCTCTCCCTTCCTCTCTGAAATCAATAAAAATATATTTAAAAAATAATAATAATAAATAAAATAAAATAAAAATGGCCAGCTTGACTTTCTGGATTTTGAAAGTGATTCGCCACTATGTCACTTAAATAAAAATAAGAAAATTCAAATAAGCAAAAGAGAAAAAAATGACCCAGGATCCCTCAATCCATGCCAACATCTTGATGTTTATCCAAGAAAACTGTCTCCATGGCTGCAAGGTTGAGGAGATGTGAAAGCAGGCCACCCAGGGAGAAGGCCTTTGCACATGGATGCAGCCACCATCTGGGGTCAGTCGTGTGGCCACTGCCCTGCTGGAGGCAGAGGGCTCCGCAGGCCACAGGCCCGGTCCCCTGCTGTGACCTATTGTCAGGGTAGCGCCATCAGCTGTCACACTGGAGGAAAGTCCGCTCACCCCCCACCCCCGATGTGGAGGTCAACATGAGCACACGAGTGAGTTTTAAAGAAGGCCCTTTATCAAAAGGGAGGTGTGTCCAGTCTCTCGGGGTATCCCTGCCTTTCTCCCCTCCGACTTGTGTTCGGCTCCTGCCCCGCTGTTAGTTCCGAGCTCCTTGTAGCTCGGGGCTCACGGTCTAATGAACAAGTAGACAAAGAGGCAGCGACGTCAGTGTGATGAGCAACCAGACAGAGGGGGACTCCGGGTATGAGTCTCATTTTGTAGTTGAGGGTCCCAGAGGGCCATGCGGTTGCCTGAGGTCAATTGTTAGCCCCTGGAGGAGCCCAAACTAGGGACCCGTGTCTGGCTCCAAGTCCAGAGCGTTTTTCCACTGGTACCCCTTGCCCACCTCACACCAGGCTGTTGCCATGATTAATTATAAACCAGAAGCACATGCATTCAGGGTTCTGTATCCCAGGAAGTAGGGCAGGTGTCCTCCTAGCTTCCTGCGGCTACTTCTGGATCATTGTCCCTCCTTCTTCCCAGAAAACCTCTAGTTTTTGAGCTCATGCAATAGATGGCGCCATCTGCAGCCATTTCTTGGCGCAGTCACCTACTGACCCCTCATTCCTTGAACACTTAGCAGCTCCCTCATGTCTCTCTTGCCCAGCACAACTTCTGTCAATCTTGGCGAATTCAGCACACACACGATATCCCCTCAAACACTCTGACCACCCGGTGTCTTTCCTTCTCTTATTTTTTTTAAGCCCCAGGAAACCCCTAATCTACTTCCTGTCCCCACAGATTTGCCATCTCTAGACGAGTCATATAAATGAAATCATGTAATATGTGGCCTTCCGTGCCCGACTCTTTCACGTATCAGAAAGTTTTCAAGGTTCATC